TATTAAAACAGACACTTATTTTGTTCAGCGAATCCAAAAATGCAATAATATACAGGACATTCCATTTAAAAAAACGCAACTTTGATACCTTTAAAGCCTTTGGGACACCCTGTACATTACAAAAATATTTTTAAAATGTGCGCTCGGTAGGCGTCGGACAATTCATAAAATCATACTTTTTAAAAATCAAACGGTTTAGCCGCAAACTTCCGTGCCGTATAGCGTGAATAACCCTGTATACAGATTTAAAACACTTGAAATGTAAAGGGTGGAAGCATTCAGGCTTCAATAACAGGACAGTAAGAGTTAATAAAAACAACTTAGTAAACTACATTAATTACAAGCAACAGAAATTTCCTTCGTTTTTTTGCTGGCAAATTGTCGTCGTTATGAATCACACACCAGAGAAAAAATTCTAAATTGAACAGGAAATTCGGGTTTTGTTTCAGTTACTTTGAAAAAGTTTGGGGGCAAGAATTTTTTCACAACCTTTCAACGGTTTCGAAAAACTCCTACTCATTTTCTCCTAGATTACATACACTGACCAAAAAACCTACACGTAAAAAGACCACTAACATACCTACTTTTTTAGACATGGAATTCGAACCTCGCTTTACTAAAACATCTTGTTTTTCTTTGTTTCAGGAACATGCCTTTGAATCGAGTCAAAAATACAAAGAAGGCAAATTCATAATAGAATTAGCCCACATGATCAAGGAGAATGGATGGGACTGACAATACGAATAGTGCCGGTTCCGGTGGTTTCCCTGCCAATCATGGTCGCGAAAGATAAGCAAACCGCCACCTATAGACTAACGATAAATTCGAATTTTTGTTTTCTGGATTGGACCTAATACGCGCCACGTTGTCGATTGGTCGTAATGTAGTTTTTAAATTTAACGAGCAACACTGATTGGTTTTGAACTGAGACGTGAGTGTAATTTAGAGCTGATAAATTGACTCAGTCACTATACTCTGTTAAAGCTGACTTTGATATTTTTTAAAATTGAGTTTAGTGTCGGGCAACACTTTCGTATTCTCTGGAAGCCAAGCCACAAATAATTCGGAAAATCTAATCGATGGTGCGCTTAAAAGTGTTAGTCCCGAAACCTTTCTATCGTCATAGCGACGAGACAAGGCCGCTTTTTCCAACAAATTACTCGCGCCTCAATTATTGCCAAACACTTTATTTAATGAAGAGCTGTTGCGTTTATCTCAAACATGAGTTTCGCATCATTACTCATCTAGTCTATTGCAGGCCCTCTTTAACTTGATACAATAATGTGTTTTTTTATCATATATTAAT